TGCTCCAGTTGTCAAAAACCTGCAAACATGCACTTGTCCCAAAGGTTTTATTTCACAGTAAAATTTGGCGATCCTATTTAGTGCAGTAGCTGACTTGATACAATGTAATCGCAAAGAAATATTAACATACTCGCACTCATGGAGTGAGTGTGCTCAGGATCTGACATACATGTGTTTGCAAGGAGTGCATCATCACTGTGAATGCACAGAACCTGGACATTATGTGCTTTTGGGAAGACAGAGGTTTTCCACCTGATGCTCACATCCCACACTGCTGAGCTGTTTCCCATCAGGTCGAGGCTGAGTCACCAGCTGTGTCTCTTAAAGCACGCACACAAGTCGTGAGTTTTTCCTGCTGGGACCATGAATGTACTCAGCTGGTGTCTATTGATAGTGCCAGAGCACTGTGTGACCACTTAAATCACCATCAAAGTTTTTATTTTTTTCTTCACTTTATTTGAGCTAGATATCGAAGCTGCTTGTCTTTTTCTCAAAAGTCCATTTCCTCCACAGTATGTTTACTGAGATTTAAAGACTTGATTAATTTTTATTTTCTCTGATATTATTAGTAAAGACTTTTTGGTTAGATTCTACTTTCTGTTTCTACTGTAGGTTTAACACTCAGTATTAAGTGGAATTATTAGGGATTCAAATCGGGAAGGTAAGACCAATCTCTTTGTGGGGGGGTCTAACAACAGGGCAAACGCATATTAGCAGAGACTAATGCTCTTTATTGTAGTAACAACTGTACTTAAAATTTGAAATACTGACACGTTTCATATTCAATTAAAAAATGAACAGAAAAGAGAGTGTGTTTTTCAAGAAAGGCCTAACCTTTCAGAACTGATTCTCAGTTCACAAGTGGAAATTGCACAGCCTTGGCTGTAGAATGATCTAGTTCAAAACAACAACAAAACAATTTTCCTGGGAGTAGGAGTAAGCAACTGATAACACAAATGAGAGAGAATCATCTGCTGCTTTAGAGAAGGACTTTATTATTCAATTCTGAAGCATCATTCCAGGATCACAAGGGCTGTCAGCCGGAATGTTTCATCTGAGGAATCTGAAAGAGGTTCCTGACACAAAAACAGGGGTTGTCAAAACTGATTTTCAGTGCTGGTCCAACCCATCAAAAATAGTTCTATCTTTTCTGAGTATTATTATTGATTTATGAAACAAGACATGTGCCTGCTGGTGTGTCTTCTGTGCATGCGTGCATGAATTAATGGGATTTTACACTCGCCTTCCTTCTCCACTGCCCCAAAGGGAGGAGGACAGTTGTTAAAGGAAACAGGAGAAAGTGAGAACAGCGAGACCCAGAGGAGACGAAAATGATGCACAAGGGTGGCAGAGCAATGTCCCAGTGCTGTGTCACAGACAGTAACAGCAGACCCCATTGCTTTCTAGTTCCTATGGCTCCCTACTGCAACGATGGAAGATTATGACGGCTTATTTTGATAGGTGAGTTGTAACCCAGGGTGCAAAGGACTGAATCATCAAACTAATACAAAGCTTTGCATCTGTAGATAGTCTTTCCTCAGAGAAGTGTACTTATAACAATGATCATGACTTCCCAGGATGTCTTCTCTTCACTGCACTGTATCTTCTTTAAATTTGCTTCGCAATGTCCCTGCGAAAACATTCAATTTTCCTTCCCATTTTAATCACCTGTTAGTGAGAGCTGATGTAGACGTACGTATGTTTATGTTCAATGAAGTGTCTTAGGTCAAAATGTTTGAGATACTTTGGATATCACCATCTGTGATAAATGCTATCTGGTAACTCTGTGTTTAAACCTACTTAGGTGTAAGTTTGCAGTTACTTCTCATTTGGTCTATCTCAGTGAAACAGGAGCAGTGAAATAATGAGGATGAGTGTGGATTAGCAGCTGAAAATTGAAAGGTTATTCTCTGTTCACTATTCTGAGGGAAGAATACTTTAGTTTTCAGTCTGCATGCTGTACCATGTCCCTCATCTACCTCTTCTTTCAAGAAAAGTCAAATCCTGAAAGTATATTTTAAACAACAAATGCAGTGGAGGCAAAACCACAAATGGGTCTGCATGCAAAGGTCTACATGCATCTTCTCTTGGGCCAGGATTTATGCAGTGTTGACTAAAGCAGTTTAGGTCAATTACTTGAAAGTATTTTTTTTTAATTTTGTTTTAATACTGCAATATTTTTCTTTTCTGAAAATTAAGATATACTAAAAATTTTCTTCCTAATAATGAACATAGGATTCCTTTCCAGCTTAGACAGTGCTGAGGACAAGCAAGGGGATGGGAATCTAGTATTAAATGTGGATGTTAAAAAGTTCCCTTTTATGTGAGTTTGTGTGAATGGTACCTATAGGTACTGTTTGGATAGAGAAATAATTACCAAAGAACAACATTCTAAAAAGAGGAAAATTACATGCTCAGAAGATGCTATAATTCTCACAAGGTTGGTTAAGTTCTGGGGACCAGCATCCCTCTACAAGAACCGATAAAGTCAGAACACCGAGAATTTGCTGCATTGGTACACAGCCACCAAAATGTATGACACAGACCGTGTGCAAGACGGCAGAGCCTGAACTGCATGAGTGACTGTGTTGTGCGAAGAGCTATCTGCTTTTAAAAACAACAGCTTGATGGTATTTTTAATAATAGCTTAATGAATAAAGGCATTCTAATAAACAGTAGCTGTGATCTGTTTCTCACCTTGCATCAATGCTTTATGAAGGGAAGGGAATTAACAACATAGAGAGATGCAAAACGCAAGTAAGGCAGGAACACAAGGCCATGAAAATTAATGCCTAATTTATTGACAGCCAACTCCAGAAACATTGATCATGTTTTTTAATAAGATCTGATGATGGACCCTGGTAAGTAAAGCTATTTATGAGCCTAGAGCAGACTGCATTGAACATTTTGCTGAGGTTTGTCCTAAGAAAGAATTAGCTTTTATGATGGTCTGGTGCTGTGAGACAGTGTCTCTCCCTTCAGTGATGATTCTCTTCTGCAGCACTAGGTCTTGTTAGAGAACCAAGACTGTCAAAGCATTTTTCTGCCTAAGACAGACCACCTGGAATTAGAGTGAACTAGTCTGTCGTCATGTATAATTATACATTTCTTTCATTAAGATTGAAATTGTTCTGCTGAGCCTTGGCTGCCTGCAGTTCTAAGAAATGATGACCTTGAAAGTGTTAGGAGACCACTGAAATGAATTCACTTCAGTAACTTTCAAAGTTCTTTGAGCAAAACAATTCCTGGTCATTCTGGCAAGGAGTTACTTTAAATTGTGGCTCTAGAAATGGAAGACATAAAAAAAAATCTAATAGACTAAAGCAGCTAGATAGAATTTTTTATTTACTCACAAACCTATCTATATTGGAAAAGCGATACAGTGAGATTAATGCATTAACTTTGCATTTTTGAATCTGGTTTTGATGCCACTAGAGGACTGAGAATTATTTAACTCCAGCTGTTTTGATATATCGTTCGTGAACTGGATGACTATTGTTTGCACAGTAAGCAGGCAGCCACACAAAAATCATTCTTAAATGAATTCAGTGGAGTACTCCCTTGGTAAAAGGTTGATCTCTTGAAACAGATAAAAAATTTACATGCTTTACTGAATACGTAAGGGAACAAGGTTTTTGCAGACAGTGGTTAGAGGTCAGGTTTTACACTTATGAGCTGTAACTTCTGCTGCTACAAACCTTAAGAGGGTTTATATCGGCTCCACTTGTTTACTTTTTGCTATGAGACAGAATCCCTGCTTCTGCTGCAAATCCACAAAACAAATCTAAACTGAAATCTTGCCTAAAGTAACCTGGCAAAATCTGTCTTACTGCACTGAGTGGTCCTTGATGGCAGCTGAAGCATCCTTCTAAGGATGTCACACAGCACACTGGCATGGTCACCCAGCAGCTGGGAGAAATTACTCAAATCAGCATTGATGCCTGCTTCTGCCAAGACTCTGCCATACACTGTTGCACAGACAGCTTCAGCTCTCCAAAACTGTTGTCAGGGCTCAGTTTAGGCTGTGCTGAGTGTAACTGTGAGTTAGAGTCTCTTTCTCATTGTCTGTGACAATGTGTGACATACTAAGGTGACATACTAAGGTATGTCACATAATGGCTCCTGATAGCTATTGATGCTTATTAGAATCGCTATAAATGACCTTTTCTAGGTTGCACGTAATTGGAGGCCAATATGCAAAGAAAGATTTACAGAGTGTTACTAGGTTGCTACCACATTACCCTACTACTATTACTGACCTACTGCAAGCAACTATTGTCACTTACATCATTTAGATAAGTGTTGCTGCTTATATAATTTACATAAAAAGTGATAAGTAACGGTGTGGATAAACGCAGCCTCGCCAACTACATTTCACCAGGAAAAAAATTGCACGATGTTTAGACTTTGGGCACAGTAACGCGCTTCCTGATGGCTCACTTCTGAGATGCGATGACTGCAGAAAACCCACCTGACAGCTCACAGCCAAGAAGCTCCATTCTCAAAGTGCAGTGTCTTCTGCACACCTGCGGATACAGCCGTATGTACTGTGACTTAATGGGAGGGGTGAAATAGTTGGCGTACGGGGTGTTGTTGTCCACATTTCCACGAAACACCTGTGATAAAACGACACACACATAAAAATCTGCCAGGAAGATTAATGGAGGTTCAGTTGGTTTCCATATCTCAAACACATCTGCGTTGTTCTTCTGACCATCCCTGCACATTTCTCTGCTAGTTTTTTTCCCCAAAAAAAGGTTGTTTTATCTTTTCCATTGCCCAATATGCAAGCTTTTAAGCAAAACATACTGTCATTGGCTTGCATGGGCATGCATTTGCCGTCTGTGCTGAATCAGGACCTCTATCTTGTCACTCCTAGAAACCAAAGCTACTAATGTAACTAAATTATGTTTTCTTTTCTAATTAGTGTATTAAATAGTCTCAATTCAATTTAGCCTGCAATTATTTATGCTGATTGACATTTATTTTTTTCCCTTTACTTCAAGAAGATGATCCAACTCCTACTGAAGTGCACTGAAACCCTACCACTGCTCACAGGGGGAGCTGAATTAAACCTATAAGCATTCTTCTGGTCACTCTTCATTCTAACCAGACATGCTTTGTTTTCTTCCCTCATTATATACCTCTTCACAGTATTTTAATTTCCTCATAGAGAAAGTATGTCTAATGCTGCAAAGTACATTAGTTCTACCTTAACTTACAGGATAAAGGGATTTTTTGATGCTTTGTATATACAACTCTATAAAAAATAAGTGGTAACTATAAACTGTAAACACATACTTCCCACTGGATGATGATACTGTTTGTGCAGTACAGAGATTAGCATTGATGAATGGGTTCTATGCCTTTAAGGGTTAACATTCATCTGCCAGTGTAATAAAGCTAAATTGAACACAGAGTAATGAGTAATCACTGGTAAACTAATTAAAATGAAGATCAGTTAAGTGTAATAAACAGGATTATTCTAGCCTTGGGACATAGTATTTATACAACCATCAATTAAAGTACAAGACATTCTTAGGAGACAGAAAGTGCAAATTTATTGATGGGGATTTTTCTGAGAAAAATAATAGCAAGGCAACCTGTATCATACTGTCAGGCAATTATGCTTATCTACTAGAGATACCTCAGACCTCTGAAGACAGCTAAACCATAAGATGTATTCATATACAGATGAATTAATCTTACCATATCTTCATTTGTGCCTTTTACTTTGTACATCGTCCATGACTTCCCATCATTACTGTATGCAATTTTGTAAGATTTTACATATTCTGGACTTCCAATCCTCTTGGCACCTTGAGTTATAACTCCAGTGACTCGCATCTTCTTCTGCAGGTTTATCTAAAATGTTAGATGCACAATGTTAGCAACGACCACTGGAGGGACACAGTTCTGATTCTAGAATCACAGAATCACTTAACCTTTAGCCTAGTACTGCCAACTCCACCATTAAACCACATCCCCAAGTGCCACATCTAGTCATGTTTTAAATACCTCCAGGGTGGTGACTTAACCACTTCCTGGGACAGCCTGGTCCAATGCTTGACAACCCTTTCAATGAAAAAAATTCTTTCTAATACTCAATCCAAACCTCCCCTGGTGCAACTTGAGGCCATTTCCTCTTCTTCTATTGCTTGTTACTTGGGAGAAGAAACCAGCACCCATCTTTCTACAACCTCCTTTCAGGTAGCTGTAGATGGCAATAAGGTCTCCCTTCAGTATCCCTTTCTCCCAGTTAAACAAATCCAGCTCCCTCAGCTGTTCCTCATAAGACTTGTGCTCTAAACCCTTCACCAACTTCTTTGTCCTTCTCTGGACACACGCCAGTGCCTCAATTTCCTTCTTGGAGTGAGGGGCCCAAAACTGAACACAGAATTCGAGGTGCAGCCTCACCAAGGTTGAGTACAGGGGAAGGATCCCTGCCTTGCTCCTGCTGGCCACACTATCCCTGATGCAGGCCAGGATGTTGTTGGTCTCCTTGGCCCCCTGGGCACACTGCTGGCTCATGTTCAGTTGCTGTCAACCAGCACCTCCAGGTACTTCTCCTCCAGGCTGCTGTCCAGCCAATCTTCGCCAAGCCTGTAGTGTTGCATGGGCTTTGTGGCTCAAGTGCAGGACCCAGCACTTGGCCTTGTTTAACCTCAGCTCACTGATCCGGCTCTGTAGAGCATTCCTACCCTCGAGTAGATCAACACTCCTGCCTAATTCTAGATTCCCATGATTCCTCCTTTTTTTTTTTTTTAGATGACTGTAAGGAAAAAAAAGTAGCTGTGGCATTTTAATTACTACCTTTATGCTTGCATTAATTTCTTTTATCTTTTATTCATTTCATGTACATATGAAAATGAATGCACATAAAGAAATGAAAAAAATTGAACCATAGATTTTTTTTATGCCTTCCTGTGTATGCGTAAACACACACACACACACACACACACACACACACACACACACACACACACACACATACACTTTACTGATATATAGTATATCACTGGTGTATTACTGGAATATAGCATATTACTGGTATATGGGACTACTGCTATAAATTTTTCTTTCAAAAAAGAAAATGTAACAGTGTGATAATTTACCAAAAGCTCATACAAAAAAGCCTAAGTAATCTCCAGGTCAAATTTCAATTTAACTTTGTGAATGTTAAAATACATAGATGTTCTGTAAAGCAAACAAATAGACATTTCCTTGATTCTCACTGAATATAACTAAAGATCATGGTTGAAATGCTAATCCCAAAACCCAATATCAATGGTTATCAATAGACATGAACATTCTCTGTGTACTCATCGGAGTTGACCTTATCACCTTGAATTACAAAAGATGATGTACAGAGACTTCAAAAATATTCAGACAACCTTAATTTTGCCTTCTTTGTCCATCTATAATATGGGTAAAGCAACTATATTCTCACAAAATTCAGAATATGATATTCATATAAAAAAATGTTGGCATCGCCAGCCTCGTTCCTGCAATGAAGTCAGTGATGAAGCAATTTGTGACAACTGTGCTCCCACCCTCTCACTGGTAGGCAGCTGATTGCTGTAACTTTTGCACCAAATGAAGCTTAAAAAAGATCTGTCATACTGTGAGAATCACATGAAGGTGCAGGCAGATGTGTGATAAAAGGAGACGAGTAGAAATACTAGACAGTAAACAACTGGCACAATGTAAATAATACATTAAACTAGGTTTGCACTTGTTTCCTCCAAATGAATCTTATCTCTGCTCCCCAGTTAGTGAAGCTACTCTGGTGCAGCCTCTACTATTTGGAATAGCAACCACAGTACAGGAGTATGGGGAGTCAAAGGCAGGTCAGGTATCTGCTGTCCAAATACTTTGATCCCTTTATTCTTTACAGTGCGGTCTCAAGATTTTCTCTCACTTGGTGATTTAATCTAGAATTTATTAAAGCTATAAGATGACCAAACTTCTGTGTTTCAATATCCTACTGTGTACACAGTGGGAAAGTAGAGAAAGACAGAATTTTGCTGCTGTTTTTTTAAGGAGGTCTAGCTATCTCTCTGATACTTATCTGAGATAGTTGAGCTTCTGATATTTTTCTTCTTGAGGCAAAAGACATTTCATTGCAGTTTTACCATCATTCTCCCTATATGTAATTACTAAGCACATAAAATAACAGTGGTTTTTTTAGAGGTTTAGACCCTTTGAGAGAGGAGAAGTTGCCTATAAAAGATCAGATTTTTTACAGGATATTTCCAACATATACCAGGAAAACTCAGGAACATTTGAAACTGCAATGGAGAGAATAGACAGGCATACATAAGAACAGATTCAAGCTTTTTTACAATTTTGGGAAACATTATTTTCTTCCATTCCAGAGGGAAAAAAAATAAAAAGTACACATTATCTATGTAAGAGGGCAGCTCTAGAGACAGGCAAGCAAAACAATTTTTCATATATCTACAAAATTGTTAATAAGTGAACACTATCTCTGAAAACAAATTAGAAAGCACAGTCAAACAGTAACCAACTGTTGATTATTTGTCTTTTACATGTATTGACTAAGTATCTTCAGATTTCACTGTTTGGGAAAAGGAAGATGTAATGCAAAACCAAATAAATTTTATTTGATCCATATGCATATACCTAATACTCTTTCAGCTTCATTCCCAGGTTTTGTTTTTTTCCAGCTAATAAACTAGGTGAGGTTTTTAGGATAAGAATTTATGTGGATTTTTTTCCCCATTTACTCAGAAAGAATAGATTCTAATGAAATCATGGTTTTAAACACAGAATATTCTATTCCCACATTGGCTCCTTTCCATGACCCAGCCTCCATCTCTAATGCACAACAAATAAACCACCACAGTTCAAGAAGCAAAACCATGAAAAAAACTCCATACAAAAGTAATGTGCCAAATAGTTTACTACTATGGCAGAAACTCCAACTTGGAAAAAAAGAGAAGTCCAACTGAATAAAGTGAAGATTTGGTCAGATAATCACAAAAACTAAGTAAAAAGAATTTAACTTTTAAATACTCATTTAATATATGCACTGTTAACCTGTGTTCTTTGAGTTTCAGGAGGTAAAAAGCATGACACTGTTCTGCTATTCACCACCCTGCTCTATACCCTTATCTGGATATCTGTATGTATAAGCTACATATATATAAGCTCTGTTTTAACAAATAGAATCCTTTCTTTTAGAGGTTTCTTGATCAGTATCCATACTTTGAGTCTCAAAGTGAGCTTTATCTCTAAGCAGAATTAAGCTTGATATTACACAGGAAACAAAAACAGGATACTCTATTTTGCAATTAGGTCCAAATATTCTGTCAATGTTTGCAGGAAAATCCCAATGAAAGGGGAAAAAACTGCTTTCAAATCCCTGCAGCTTTCTTACATACAAAATCCCCATGGGGCTAATGTCATGACTGTGGTAGCTCCTTTCAATGCATATGGGTACAACAGGAATTAATTGGCCCTTTGTGTCTGGGTTCTTTTATGTGTTTTAAATTTTTCGAGTCAGAGCTTAGCAAAACTCAAAATATTACAACTGTGCAATAACTATAATGAAGCAGGTGCTGAAATCTTAAAGTACTTCAGTAGAAAGCAGAGTTACCAATGTGAAATGTGAACTAGCTCTTTTGGCACTAAAAGCATTTTCAAAGGTATTTTTCTGTGGCAATTGTGAAGAAAAACAGCTTAAGAAGCTCTGCTTTGTGGATTCAGATCTAGGACAGAGTGTTATGTATTCTAATTACATGAGTGACTGTGTTTTAAAACAAAGAGGTGAAAGTCACCAGGATAAGAACAAGAATTTAGCACATCTTTTTAGAAAATGTAATATCTTATTCGATTATAAAGAAACACTTACCTAGATTAACTGGAAAAAATTAAGGATGATAGAGGATCAATAGTATTTTGAGGGATTTACCCCAGTAATTTAAGTATTAATGCATGGTAAAGACCGTGTAAGAAGAAGATATTTGCATAGAAATTTGAGGAAACTACTTACAGCCAGAAAAAGGAGACTGATAAGTTCCAACAGCCCTACTTAAGTTTGTTATTTTGAGAGTAACAGATTCAGATTTGACACAGATCCTGCCTATGGAGGTGTGTTCAGCCGTAGCTCTGGGTCCAGAAAATTCCATGGGACCTAATTCACCCATCATCTGTCAGAGATTTGGCTGTGACGTCACAAGCAGATCTGAAGATGCCCATTACCTTACACCCTCATGGCATGACACGGTTTATGAAACTTGAGCAAGGTGATGTTTAACACCTACAGGTAATGGAATCTGCCTCAAACAAGTTTTACATTTCTATGAGGATGTTTTCTGGGGCTGGAATAAATGATGGACACTGAATCATGCATGTAAAACTGCATGTTAAAGAAAGCCAGTACTCTGGCATCAATCCATGTAAAACCAATGCTACAAGAAATAGATTATGTCTACACAATGTATGTTGGATGATGCAAAATCACTGTGCTGATATTGCGAAAAGCTCAGCGAGAGCACGGGCATGGCAGTCAACGCCAAGTTAAAAGTTCCAAGGGACGAGATATAATACCTCACAGCCAGTGCTGTATATGCTGTTGAAGGCTGAATTTGTGTACTGTCAGTCACTTGGTGGCTTCTATACAGTGCCATATAGTCAAAACTAAGTAAAAAGAAAATCACTTCAGGCATACTCCTTCAAGTGCAGTATGTGCTCAAAAGCTGGGGAACAAACTGTCAGTTTAAAAAGTTCCCAGCAGTCCTTGAAATGTCTTTTTAACCTTGTTCCTTTCAAACACCACAATCACCCTGACTCCATGATTAGACCATTTTTATCATCACAGCAGGTTAAAGAGTAATGGC